AAATGGGAAAGAAAATTAGTTTCCCATAGAATCCATTACATTCAATCTTAGCAGTAAGTGAAGTCTGCTTTGCTCACTTGCTCACACCAGTAGACAATGCCAGATTGGGCACATGTAACACTTCAAACTCAACATATTAAATGTGGTTATGGTTACTTTTTTCTCTGAATTTCCACGTTTGACATCAACCCAAATTTTTCTAACCATAACCTATTTTCTTTTATGATCTATTACTTCAGATAGCCAATAATTAAATGCTTTGTTCTTATGGCTGCTTTGTCAGTACTCTCTGGCAAATGTGTTGCAGTCAGATTCTGTCACCGTATGGTTTTTAAGAGTGTTTTAGTGACTTTCAAAAGAAACTTACAACTGGCTGGTAACATGAATCTCTTTCCTGTTAAAATGCCTACTATTGACTTGATTGTTGTCAGTTCCTCATGGCTTTATTCACAATTTTCACTGAGTTATTAATATTTTCAGGATGGCATGTTTCATTATGGGGGCACTCTTTGATTTTATGAATATTTTTCAAAAAACAAACTAAATTGGTATACCTTTTAATGACAACTGGAATAGCTAGAAATAGCTTGGAGTTCGTAAGGATTCATCAATTCACAGCTGTCTTATGAGAAGCACTGTAGATTCATTTAGCACAATTGATGCCTTAAATGATAACCTCATCAGACCGTGTCAAGGCATCAGCAAATTTATCTGTGTGAATTTAGTCTATCATTAAAACGTAAATTAAAGTTAAATGAAGCCAGTTTAGTTTGTTACATGGATTTTTGATGAGCATAATACAACAATTTGGAGCATTAGGACCAAATTGCTAACACATCTTTAGAAAGGCAATTAACTCTAGTGTATGTAGTGTAAGTTTGTGTAGGTTTTGTCACATTACATCTCTCAATTTAGGTTATAGATTGGATTTAATCAACATTAATTTCTTCAGCTGCAATTTCTGTTCAAGGCTAGAGGATAACAACTGTTGCCAGGAGGTCCTCAATTTATCTTAAAATGCAAGAGCATTTTTGTTTATATTTTTGGAAACAATAACAAAATATGTACATATTCTAAATAAATGTGATTGCACTGGAGGAGGTGTAGGGGAGATCCACTAGGATTTTGCTTGGGATGCAGCATCTTAGCTATGAAGAGAGGCTGGATAAGCTTAGATTGTTTTCTTTAGAGTAGCGAAGGTTAAAGGGGTCCTGACAGAGGTGTATAAGATTATGTGGTGCATGGACAGGGTGGATAGATAACAACTATTTCCCTTAGTTAATTATAAGGGTGCAGGCTTTTAAGGTGAATAGAAACAAGAGATTTAGAAGGGACTTGAGGAAGGGTAGAATGGGTCTATAATGCCCTGCCAGGTGACCTTATAATCTTTAAAAAGTACTTGAGTGGGCACTTGAAGCATCATTCATAACATTCAAGGCAATGGGCCTAGTGCTGGAAACTGGGACTAGCGTACATTTAGTGTTTTTTTGGCAGCACAGACTCAAAAGGCCACAGGGCATCTTTTGTATTATATGATTCTATAAAATCTTGCAAAAAATGATATATAATGGCTGTTTCAAAACCTCTAAGGATTTCATAGAAAATGTAGTCAGTTCTGCTTTTTACAGTTACTGCAATAGTTTTGTGTTTCACCTATGGAATGTGTTTGAATTCAGCTGTTATGAACCTGAAGTGTTCTTTTAACCTGCAGAGGCAAGAACTCATGGAATGGTTTGACAGAAGATTTTGCCTCTTGTGAAACCCCAAATAGTTTAGATACTGAAGTATTTTGTGCAGCTGCAATATATGGTCCTGATTTTTGATCTGCAATTATAATAATCCTGATTTTTAATGTTGGGAGGTTGGGGGTAAGTGCAGGGAGAGGCGGTGGGAAAGTAGGAATTTGAGAAGGAATTTCTGTCATCAAGAGGGTGATTGAGATCTGAAACTCACTGTCTGAAAGCATGGTGGACTCAGAAACTCTGATCTCTTGGGGTGGTGTAACTTATAAGGTTACAGACTAACAGCTGGAAGGTGAGATTTGGCTGCATAACTCCTCATCGACTGACACAAACATGTCAGCTATCTTTGTTCTGTAAAGTTTTCAATGGACAGGAAAACAGGAGAGTGGATCCTTACATTATCACGCTGTGCCATTGACAGTGTGCCTGCCTTCGTCCTCACCATGATTTTCGTCAAGAGAGACATTGGTTATACTACTTATCTGTTGCCCAATTTGGGCTCTGAAATGTGCATTTACTGTCTAACTAAGGACTTCATTTTAACCACTGCTGCGATTTAATGGGCAATGGGAGAGGCCTGTGCTCAATGCACAGCCTGGCAGTTTTAACCCTGCGGGCTCCTGGTCAGTGAGAGGAGACCCTCCTTCCAAGCCTCCTGTAACAATTGAAGACTCATTCCTCAATTTTGCCTCCCTGTTTATGCACTTCAAACTCTTCCCCCATCCCACCATTGTCAACCTGCCTCCTCCTGCCTCAACTGTGAGCATCACACCTCTGGGAGGATATCAATCCTTACAGAGAATGAAAAGAGATTGATTAGAATGGTGTCAAAGAATTTAGTTTTGTGGAGAGGCTACAGGAGCAGTAGAACAGATGAAATTAACAAATTAAATAGGTTTTCAAATATGCAATGGGTTTTGATGGAGTGGTTAAGGAGAAACTGTTTCTGAAGGGCTTCTAACCTGAATTAAATTGATTGACAAAAAAATCAGAGGTGACATGTGAAAAACAGTTTTCTGTAGTGATTTATGTATTTTTTGCCTGGTCTTGGGATGTGGCCATCGCTGGCTGTGGCAGCATTTATTTTTTGTCTGTAATTGCCTTTAAGAAGATGCTGGTAAGCTGCCTTCTCGACTTGCTGTAGTACGTTTCTGGGTGTAGGGACACCCACTGAGCTGTGTGGCACAAATGTTACTTACCACCTATCAGTCCAAGCCTGGATGTTGTTTAGAGCCTGTAGTAAAGGGTATGGTCAGCTTCAGTTTGTGACTCGTCAGATACAACATTGAACATTGCTCAGTCATCAGGCCATCATGCATCGATTCTCAACCCACAAATCTTTGGCCATGTGGAGCAGGATGTTGTGGAAATCTCACTCCCATTTTTAGCCTTCATTCTACAAAATACACTGTGGCAACCAGCCTATCCTCTTCTCTTAGACTCTTAGAGAAGGGCAGCAGATTCATGAGAATACCATGACCTGCAAGTTTCCCTCCAAGCGACACAGCACCCTGAATTGGAACCATATTACTGTTCCTTCACTGTCACAAAGTCAAAAATCTGGAACCCCCTCCCTAACAGCACTGTGTGTGTACTTACAACAGATGGGCACAAATAATGGCTCACCATTATTTCATTGAGGGCAATTCAGAATAGGCAAGCAATAATGACCATTTCAATGATGCTCACATCGCAGAAAAAATAAAAATGATGCACATTACAAACTCGTAACTCACAACCCACTATCACTGTTTGTCTGATTTGGTTCATACTTTTTGAAAAACCAATTTCAATTAACCCAATTAAACTAATTTAAAAGATGACAGCCCCTTTGCGAAACACTGTAATAAAAAAGTCAAATGTATAAATTAAACTTATAAAATATAGATTAAATTTTGTTGGGGAGATAAAGCAATCAAACCAATGGTACATATTGATAATGAAAGGTCTCAAGTATGTTAGTAGATGACATATGCTTCCTATCTAGGGACAGTGGACCACAGACACAGCAGTGGAACACAGATAGACAGTTGGGTCTACAGCCCCCTTCATGATCTGTTATCTGAACCATGGCCAGCCTATTGAACAGACAACAGTCCACATCATAGCAAACGATCAGGCGTATGGAGCTGAACTGCATTCAAAAATTATGTTGTAACTTGGTGTAGGTACACCTGTAATGCCATTAGGGACAGAATTCCAGGACTTTGATCCAGCAACACTGAAGGAACGGCAATATATATCTAAATCAGGATGGTGAGTGGCTTGAAGGGTAATTTGCAGGTGGCAGTTTAACCATGTATCTTCAGCCCTTGTCCTTCTAGATAGTAATAGACATTGGTTTGGAAAGTGCTGCTATGGAGCCTTGGTGAACCATCTAATCATGTGACTGTTAAGGGCCTGAATCTGCCTCCGCTGCTATAGTTCATTGGGCATGAAGATGGATGAGGGTTCTTTAGCTGTTGTTTCACAAAAAATGATAGAAGGCAAAAAGGAACGAGGGTACCTACTGGAGATATATCATGTGTGCATCAGGAGGCAGTGTTCCTCTGGTCATGCACCTATATAGTGCCTTACGACATAGTCCCTCAAACCTCAGACCCCTCGTCAGTTGTCCTTAGGGTGCCCAATTCCTCCTTACTGAAGAAACTCTGGAGTGACCTTGTTTCATGGCACGGCATTGTAGGACTGCCTGCAGTTTCAGCAGGGTCCACTGTTCCTTTTGGCACTGCTGAAACTGGAAGAGCTGCAGGCACACACTTTGACTGGGAGCTCTTGACAGTGGGATGTCCTTCTACTGAGTGGTGGAAATCCCACAGCCTGCTTGTTAATGCGGCCGACATTATAACATTGCCATAGATGGTCTTTTTAAAACAATTAGTTGATTGGTTTGCCATCAAAATTTGTTTCTGCCCCACCCCCCCATCCCCCAACCATGAAGAAATTTGTCCGTTAAATATTTTTACTTAAATCGTAGAGATGGGCAATATTATTCATTCAGCTAAGTAATCCTTGTGTTAAAGTTGTCTCGGAGATAAAATAGCCTAATCCTATAGCCACTTTGCTGTTTCAGAGATATAACTGACAAAATAAATTGCGTGTTTAGTCTTGCCTTTCTTTGAAGTCTAACTATGTACTTGGGTTTGTTGTGCAATATATGAAAACAAACAAAAGTAATAAAAAAGAGGTGTTATCTATTTGGAAAATCAGACTGATTTGATGGTCATTTTCTCACATGCTTTCCAATCTTCTTTGTAGACCTTTTCACAGAACACGCGCAGAGCACCTGAATACTTATAAGATATTGAAGATTTTCACGGCAATTAATACACAGTTTACGGATGAGGAGTTGAAAAATCTCAGTGCACAGATAGTGATGGAATCATGGGCGAGAGGTTACACAGGTATCTGTTCTGTATTTTCTCTTTAAATTTGCACATTAAAAATTTTAGACTGGAGGTATTTATCTGTTTTATTTCATATGGTGAAGTAGATATAAATTATATGGGTTAAATCTTTCCAAATTTTGATGCCTTTTTTCAAAAAGCAGTTCACAAAATAGGTCCCATAAAATAAGTCATAAATAAAATGATGAGTGATTAAACTGAATGCCATATACCCCAAAGTTAAGAATCCTGACCCTTTTTCATTTTTTGTTTCCATTTTTAAGTTAGCAATAGATATATTTCTGTGCAAAATAGAACAGGAGGCATTATCTTTTGAATTCTGGCTGGATTCACAGGTGGCAGCCATCTTAGCTTCTGGGAGAACTGAGAGAGCTGTCAGAAGGGGTTCTATGATGGAAGGCCACACATCATACTGCTGATGGCACTGACTACTATGACGATGTTTGGATCTAAGGATCTATTGCAAATGCTTGAAATGTGCAGAAACCACATCAAGATGACAATTCAAAGCAGCGAAGCTGCTAGGTAGACAGTGGGACGAGGGAAATTAAGGCTAGCAAACAGCACATTGCCAGCAACAATCATAAGGCTGCCAGCTCAGAAGAACTTCTGAAAGAAGTTAAGGTTAGGCAGCAAGGCAAAGGCACAGACACTTCCATTTTGAGATGCACTCAGTAGGATAAGCATATATTTATGTAGCCAAGTTATGAAGGCTCAGAGTGCAAGCCTGTCTAGTCGCTGCTTTGGGCTGAAGTGCTATTGTTTGCTACTTCTGGCTCTGGTGACCCCTTTCACTCCAGGGAAACTGCTGGAAGTCTACCTCCATTCAGCTGATGGCCTGCCTGTGCATTTCGGGTTGTTTAAGCACCACTTGCCTATGGCAGGCAGCTGACTCAAAACTGTTTCTACCACTGGGAAAAGACTGGTGATGGAACTGCATCAGATAGCCAACTGTCATAACCCCTCAGCATTTTATTGTACCCCCAAGTCTATTCTTGTCTTCCAGGAGGCTGGTAACATTTTGCTGCGGATCGCTTGTCAGAGAGTTCATTTCTTTGGCCAGGAATTTCTTTGGCTTTGGCTTGGGAATCAGCAGGTCATTATGTCAAATTAGAAAAGGCAGACCAGTCTGTTGCTTTTCAGAACCAGAACTCTGAGTCTTCTTTTGAAAATTTTCTTTTAAGGATTTAGAACAATTACTTACTGAGCCAAGTGGGTTCAGTAAGGCTTCTGCCAGAATTTAGTAACAGATGAAGAATTTTGATTCTGCTTTTGAAAAAAAAACTTTTTGCTGTGTTCAGTAAAGCCACGTAGTTCAAAAACAAAGTGCCAGAGAAACTCAGTGGTCTGGCAGCATCTTTAGAGAGAAAACGGTGTTAACATTTTGAGTCCAGCGACCCTTCATCAGAACTAGTTCAGGACAACACTTTCTGTTTTTGTTTCATCTGCAACATTCATGTTTTTTTTATAAAAGCCATATAGTTACTTATTAATCAGCAATCATTTTTATTTTGTGCAGTGTATGGAAATCAGTCATTCTACATGATTGTAAAAGGTTGTGCCAAGCCTTACACAAAGCTTAATGACGCATTTCAATTGGTGTACCTTGATTCTTTGTCTGAAGCAACTCAAACAATGGTATGAATAACTTAAATTATACCTGAATCTATCTAGTTAACATTTAATAGCCCAAGAGGTTTCACACATCGTGAATTTACAGCCTACTGAGTAACAAGTACAATATGTATTTTTTTGAAGTGTGCATGGACAATGCAGATTTCTACATTCAGAGTACGTTACTGATTTAATTCTCTACATGTGGACAGAATTAGCGCTTGCCAGGTTTGTGCTCTTTCTTTGGTAAGCTCCATCATGCTGAGAAGGACAGGTTTGAGCACTTTTTGAGCAAGTAGTTGACATTGCCTCATATCCAACGATAAAAGATTCACTAAAAATCAAGATTTATAAGTTCAAACATTAAGCTAGATCTCTTCATATGTGGGGGCTTGGTGAATCTGGAAAATTGGTATGGAGGGAGAGTGTTCACGTCTTCTGTTGTTTTCCTAGTTTTAGGCATAATCTGTACACCATTTGTCAATGTTTACTGTTGGGATAATCCAGAATAAAAAGATGTAATTTCTTGTTGCCTGACGTGCGAACTGGCTATTTCTCTAGTGATTCCTTGTCTCATTACTGACTAGTGTGTTCAAACTGAGATAGCGTCTTCTAAAACTCATAACATCCTTCAGCTCCAGACATACTGGGAATCATTGTAACCATCATAGAATTGTGGGTGACGTCTACTCAGGGTCCCACCTTTCTCCCATAAATCTTCATGTGGCTGAATAGACTGGCACTCAACCTGCAGATTTCTGGGTATCTGGGCCAAGACGTCCCATGAGGTAGTGGGATTCAGCATGCAGGATTTATAATTTGCAAAGCTAACCAGAAAGGAAGAATTCTTCTAGAAATTCAAGGCAAGAGTACTTGATCAAGAAAAATAAAGGAGCTGTGTTCAATTAAAAAAAAATTAAGGTGCATGAATTGCAATATTCAAATTATTGGAAAGAAATTGGGAGAACTAGATCTAATTTCCATCCTCCTGCTTTCAGTTACTTCTTCCCTCCCCTCTCCTCTCTTAACTAGATTGATCCTGAATATTATAAAATTAAATTATCTTGTACTGAAGCTGTATATCCAATTAAACAAAATTGATATGGTAAAAAAAAATCCTAACTGCTCACAATCCCATTTCTTCCAAAATGTTGATGCCTATTATAATAAAATGAAATTGTCTGGCTAAAAAGTACATCCAATAAAAGCAAATTGTCCATCTGAAATTAGCATCCAGTGCCAATTTTCTGAGTCTGTCAAATTTCGGACTGCTTCTTGCTGTTAAATGGAAGGTGCTTACATTTGTTCAGCTGAAGTGTGCAGATCATTGGAAGTGATTGTGAGTCGATGCACAGCAATAAAGATATGCTTCCAGTAATGATTTCTTGGGGATTTCACTGCTGTAAGTGCAACAAAGAATGTTGACTTATTTGGTACTGAACTCTTTAAAAATAAGCTAATTGGATATAAATTATTAACTGAAGTAATGCATTGGTGGAACAACTCAAAGGCATCTTGTGTTAGAAAGGGGGTGTACCTACATTGCAAATATGTGGTCAATGTAGGTAATGAATTTAAAAATCAGGACTTTTTTTATTATGAAAAATAAAGACTGTGTCATTTGGGGAACCAGAGTTGTACTAACTTGAAGTAGAGATCACATTTGCTATGTGATCTTCATCATTAGCGCATAGAGTTCTGTTGACAAAGAATTTACTGAGGGACTATCCTCATTGGTCAGAATTGTAAAAGTATCTAGAAAACTTACGGGAACAGGTTAGAGTATGTCAAACAGTAAAGAAAAATCTGCCCATCAGTACCTTTGTAACCATGGAAATGGCCAGCCAGGGTGTGGCAGAGACTGCAGAATTTGAAGTGCAACAATTATGCATTGTGATAGGCAGATATTCAATATAACTTGAAGAATTTCCAATGAATCTAAGAATGTCTAGCAGAAATATAGATATTTGGCAGTTTGTTTGCTGCTTATGGATACCCAGGGAAACACGTTTCTGACGATGAATGTCCATTTTATTCAGGAGAGAGTGCACTATTTATTGTAATTAACAGGATAAAATACTACAGTTCCACCATGTCATCCTGCTTCCAAAGGAGCAGCAGAGTGTAAAGTAAAAACTGTTTAAGCAGCTGTTGTTAAAAAAATGTTGAGACAATGTTGTCACCAAGACATTGTTAAGTCAATGAATCTGAAGAAATGTCAGTTGTCATTGGATGACAGGTTGGCCATTTTTCAGTTTTTTTTTATTTCTAACTCACTTCAAATAGCAACAGCTGAATTATTTCTTAGAAGATATCCCACAGCAAAGTTTTCAGTGCTGAAGCCGCATTTAGCACAGTCAGTAGATGAGGAACAGGAAGAGAATTGTGATTGGGGCTGGGGTAAGTGAAAGAAATCTGAAGTCGAACCTGAAGATTATATTGAAGATTCATAATCATAAGTGGTTGAAGAAGCTTCCAAGAGAAGTCATGAAATATGTGGCCAAGATGTTTGGTATGTATTTGATCAAGATGTTTGGTAGTGACAAGATTAGGTTTGCATATAACTCATATATTACCTTCAGAACTTCACAATGAAGAAGTTGGGAAGAATCAAAGGAGTTTGTTTCTTCAGATAATTGGGAGGCATAAGTAGAATAGCAATGGTTGTAAAATAGGTCATGCCAGTACATAATTAAGACCCAAGTCAGAGATAGACAGGTCTCCGAAGTGTAGGTCAAGGTCAGAATTAGTCTTTAGAGAAAACTTCTCTTTAGACTTTATCCAAGGTGGGTCATGATCCTTCCATAAGTCCTGAGAACTTGGGCTAAATGTAATTTCTTGGGCTAAATAAACTTTGGGTTAAATAAACTATCCTCATAGGAAAGGACTGTGGTGGTTAAGTTAGATTTATGAATAAATGAAAATGGGGAAATGTATATGCTTGTGCAGAACTTGAACAAATTGTAGCTTTTAATTGAAGAGAGAGGAGTATAATAATGTCCCCCTACAGCCATTCATGTATGTCTGAAAATAATAAACTGGATTAAACTAGTTTACTTCATACTGACAGCCATGTTATCCACACACATGTTTTTTGTTCATCTATATATGTCACCTATGCCCTTCAGCTGAACAAAGATAGGAACTCTCATTTAACAGTAAGAAACTGCTCTGATTGTGACAGACTTAGAAAATCAACGCTGGCTGTTAATTGCAAATAGGCAATTTGATCTTATTGGACATACGTTATATACATATTTTTCAGCCAAGCAATTTGATTTTATCACACTGAAGACTGGAGAATAGGGTTCTTTACAGAGAGCTAGATATGCTGAATGAATCAGATGACCACTTTCTTTTATTTTCTATTCATTTGTGGGATGTGAGTGTTGCTGGCTGGCCAGCATTTATTACCCGTCTCCAGTTGCTCTTGTGAAGGTGGTGGTGAAGTGCCTTCTTGAACTGCTGCAGTTCACCGGCTATGGGTTGACTACAGTGCCGTTAGGGAGGGAATTCCAGGATTTTGACCCAGCGACAGTGAAGGAACGGTGATATATTTCCAAGTCAGGATGGTGAGTGGCTTGGAGGAAAACTTGCAAGTGGTGGTGTTCCCATATATCTGCTGCTGTTGTCCTTCTAGTTGGAAATGGTCCTGTGTTTGGAAGGTGCTGTCTGAGGATCTTTGGTGAATTTCTGCAGTGCATCTTGTAGATAGTGCATACTGCTGCTACTGAGGGTAGGTGGTGGAGGGAGTGAATGCTTGTGGATATAGTGCCAATCAAGGCAGACTCTACAGTCCCTGGTAAAAGGCATTTCAGACTATTAGAGGTACACAGAAGCAAGTGTGACCTACAAGCTACATGGAGTTGGAACACTGTTCATCTTTAGCAGCTGTGGATTGCATTGGATGTTGGTGAACTATAGGAGTAATCCTGAAGTGAGGTCCCATCAGAGGGCAAATGGGAATCAGAGGCTGTGTGAATAAATCCCTGCTGGGCAAGGCAACTTGAGAAATACAGTTCAGTTAAAGGCTGAGAAGATTAGAAGTAAATTGAGTATAGAGCTTAGAATGATCTTTGCTGCCATTGCAGGCAGGCAACTGGCTCCCAGCACAGGAAAATCACAAAGCCAGAATTTCAGCTAAGAAGGACGAATTTCTTGTACAATATTTAATTTCTTCATCTTCCAATTCATCATCTTCCAAGGATGAATTATCAGTACCAGTGACAGAGGTCATGCCAAGTAAGGAACTACCCTTCAGTACTTGCAGTAGGGTGTGAATATATTGGTTCACCAGTAAAGTATCCACAGGGAGAAAATGCAAGTGTCAAACTGAATTGACACATTGAAGTACACTGTCTATATACTTCATTGCAGGTTTGTCAGCAATTTATGAATAAAGATTTGCTGACAGATTTGAAGATGGACTACATACATCTCCATGTAACCCACACTGAGACAGGGCAACAAATATCTACAGATTCAGGATAAGAAGGTGTTGAGAAACAAAATCAGAACTTGCTGAAAAGACTCAGCAGGTCAGGCAATATCTGTGGAAAGAAAGCTGAGTTAATGTTTCAGGTTCAGTGACCCTTCTTCAGAATTATGTGTTGAGATTGTTAGGTTTGAAACAGTAGTGTTTTGGACTGTCCATTTACTTCTTAGATAAAGGAGTTGGAGTCTCAAGACTAACTAATCGGCGCATTTACTTGGATATAATTGTGGGGTCATGGGGGTGGACTCTAGGCAGGAAGGGGTTTCTAAGATATGCCTGATACTCATAAACACAAAAATCTGCCAGGAGGGTGGAGAGGGAGCAACTAAAGGTCAACAGTTTCTATGGTTCACTGTGTAAGAATGCACGTTTTCACTTGGTTTGAAAAGATCAAATTTGTGAGGATTTGAAATAGGCCTGGAGGATTTCTCCAATTGGCGTGTGGAGAATTTCCAGGAAATACCCTCACCATGAAAACCATTCTGGATGTAAAAGTCACCAGGCTGTGGGAGGAAAGGAATGTAAGTAAATTCTCAGCAGTCAAGAATCACTTTACGGTTATTGAACATAGAGATCAACAGCACAGAAAAAGGACCTTCAACTCACCGCCAATGCGCCAGCCAAAAAAAACCAACTAACTATTCTAATCCCATTTTTCAGCATTTGGTCCATATTGTTGTATTCCTTGGCCTCTCAAGTGTACATTTAAATACTTCTTAAATGCTATGAGGGTTTCTGCCTCTACCACCCTTACAGAGAGTGAGTTCCAGATTCCCACCACGTACTGAGTGAAACAAATATTTCCTCATATCCTCTCTAAGTCTTCTCCCTCTTACCTTAGTTTATTCCATTGATCATTCATCCCTCTATCAAGGGGAAAGGTTTCTTCCTGTCCACCCTGTCTGTATCCCTCATAATTTTATACATCTCCATCATTCCTCTCAACCTCCTGTACTCTGTGAAAAACAAACCCCAGTTTGTCCAATCGTCCTTCATAACTGAAGTTGTCCAGCTCAGAGAACATCCTTGTAAATCTGCTTTGCACCCTGTCCAGTGCTGTCACATCCCTCCTATAATGTGGATTCTAGAACTACACACAATACTCTAACCAAAGTTTCATACAATTCCAAGATAACTTCCCTGCTCTTAAACTCTATGCCTTGACTAATAAAAGTGAATAGACCATATGCTTTCTTAACCACTTTATCCACCTGTCCTGATACCTGAAGGAACACTAAGGTCCCTCTTATCTTCGGTGCTCCATAGGGTCATTGAGGGTTCATCATGTATTCCCTGCCCTAGTGCATTCCCTTACATTTATCTGGATTGATTTCCATTTGCCACTGATCAGCCCATCTAACCAAGATGTCTATATTCTGTAATCTAAGGCTATGCTCCTCACTATTTACCACCTCACCAATTTTTGTATCATTTGTGAATTTTCTAATCAACCTTTTTACATTGAAGCCTAAATCATATTTATAAACAAATAAACAACAAACAGTAAGTGTCTTAATGCTAACCCTTCTGGGACCCTACGGGACACAGGCTTCCAGTCACAAAAAGCCCCTTGACTGTCACCCTCTGTTTACTGCCACTCAGCTAATTATGGAACCAATTTGCCAAATTTCCTTTGCTCCCTTGGCTCTTATCTTTGCTATCAGTCCCCCATGCTGGACCTATTAAAAACCTGCAAGTAGACTACATCAAAATCATTACCCTTACCTTCACGTCTGGTCACTTCTTTTTAAAGTTCAATCAAGTTGGTCAGACATGACCTCCCTTTAACAAAATCATGCTGACTATTTTTGATTATTCCCTGTCTCTTCATGTGGAAAATTAATTCTGTCCCTCAGAATTGCTTCTGATAGTTTCCCCACCACTGAGGTCAGACTGACCAGCCTGTAGTTTCCTGCTTGGTCCTGCTTTGGACTATGGGAAAATCAAATGACTACTTAAGGAATAGTGTAAAATATGCATGTGAAGTGAATTTTTTGGTTTTGTTGAAAGTAAAAGGGACTAATTCTCTTCTGTCGTTTAAAGTATAAGTTCCTGACAGCAATATTTAGTCAGTAACATTTAGTCTGTTATAGCAAATGTCTTAAAGCATGAAATCTTGTTTCATCCTTTCATTTATTGAGTTTAATTTTCTTTTTTTTTAATCAGTCTCCACAGTGATCATTACGCATCTATGTTTCCAGCTGTCTGTAATATTAGAACGTTCAGCGTAATAATTAGACTCTGGCCTTATCTCATCAAGTTTCAATTTACCTTTTAAAGGTCTTGGGGAAGCACACATAGTAGAACGTGCTGTCTCCCTCAACACTGTCACCGGAGTTGAACCAAGTCTACAAAACATCCAGCCACATCAATGTCTATGTCTGATGTATGAGCTGATAATCTGTGGCAGAGTCAGAAAAATAACTCTATTTCATTGAAGGTACTCCTGAAACCTCACATCCATCACAATGAAGCCTCACGTTATGCCCTCACACGATGTGACATCGAGGCTTCCAGAGGAGGTCAATATCCTGCCTCCATAGGGACCTCTGGGGTATGTCACCTTACCTCAAATTCCAGTTTAACAATCAGTGTTTTCATGCTATATTAGAAGATTAGAATTCTGACAGTAAGCCAGCAACCTACTTTCCTTCATTGGGTAGTGTAATGAATACAAAAGCACAGATATAAAGCCTAAACTATATATGATGCAGGTTAAGCAACAGCTGAGGTTTTGTGTATAGATCTGGCCACCACACTGCAGTAAGGAGAGAGAGAGAGTACAGGGGAGATTTAGAAGAACATTGCCAGGGCTTTTAAACTGTAGCTATGAGAAACGATTGGATAGGGCAGAGGAGACTGAGGAGTGACTTAATTGAAGAGGACGAAATAGATGGATAGAATGAACAGAGAAGACCTGTTTCCCCTGGTGAAGGCGTCAGTTACTAGGGGCACAGATTTAATTGCATTAGTAGAAGGATTAGGAGGGAAATAATTTTTTTTACCTGTAGCATAATAGGCATCTGGAAACCATTGCTCAGTTTGATGACTAGGATGGAAACTCTCAACTCTCTTTAAAAGAATCCTGAATCTGCATCCGAAGTGCTGTATCCTGCAAGGCTACAAACCAGGTCTGAGAAAGTAGTATTAGAATGGATGACCATTTATTTAGCTAGTGCAGATATAATGGGCTGGATGGCCTCTTTCTGTACTGTAATGTCTCTGTAGTTCTACTGTGAAGTTTCAATTTAAAGCTAAAGAAAAAAGTCACGAAACATTTTCTTGATGTCGAACTTCTGATTTTGTTTCATTCTTGTTCCATTTTCTCAATTTTCTTGTTGTGCCCAAACCACACCAGGGTGGAATATCAGTGACGTCCCATTGTACCTTTCTCAAAGGTTGAGCAAAAACTGCAAGAAAATGGCACTAATGCCATTTATGCTGATGATCTCATTGAATTGTATAAGATTACGAATCAGCTTGATGGAATTGACAATAAAAGATTGGTTCCTTTGGCTGGGGAATCTAGAAAACAGCGGCATCACCCGGGAAAGGGGACTTCTCATTTAAGACTAGGATAGGGAGACATTTCTTCACTCAAATGGTTGTAAAACCTTTGGAAATCTATGCCAGAGAGTACTTTGGATTCTCCATTGTTGAAAATGTTTACAACTGAGCTAGATTTTTGGTGTCTCAGGGAATCAAGCAATTTGGGAATATGAAGTGAAAGCTAAAGGTTGGCCATGATTGTATTGAATGCTGGAGCAGGCCCCATGGCCTGTATTGTCTACTCCTTCTATTTCTTGTATTCGAACATAAGCTGCAGCTACATGTTTAAAGATTCTGTTGTTGTTGCTCTTTTCATTACTCAGCCAGTGAATATTTTGTGTCTATTGATGTCATTGGCCTGAAAATTCACAAATTCTATTTTAATGGTGTTATTCTAATGGAGTGGTTCCAAACCTCCACTTGACCTCGACTCAAGTTAAAAGTTTAGTTTCAGAATCCTAAGAATATAGCAGTTTGCATACCTGGCAAGTTGGCTGGAGCTTGCAAAAATTCATTTACAGATTGAATCATAACTCATCACTTCTCATGCTACAGAATCTTGGTGCTCATTGTCCTGCTTGTTTAAAGTCTCAGTCAGGGCTTCCCAAAGTGGGTTCTGGACTCCAAGTGGAATTGCAGGCTGAGGTTTCGGGATTGTGACCTCCAAGACAGTGATAAATGCCCTGGAACTTTATCTTACAGTCTCACAGGTCTTCTCTCCCTCCATACCCTTTCATTTTACCGATGTCCTCATGAGGTTGTGACAAGTTTCAAGTCATGAGGGTCATACTGGGAAAAAGTTTTGAAAGCACTGATCTAAGTCAAAGTAAGCCAAGTTGATCAATATTGTCTTAAGGCTCAAATGCACTGACTTGTAAGAAAAACCCCTCTGCAATCACCAGCACACTTCAACTAGGGAAGGGTATAGATCCTTTCAACGATTAGTTGTCTTGAGTTGTAAACAGTTTTTTAACCTGAATAAAAGCCTCAAAGAAAAACCCACCATGTCAACTGCCATGAGTCCCACTAAGATCCTTTAAAACAATCAAAGGAGGAATTTCTTTGGCGGGCCAGAAATTCCCTTGACTATATAAGAGCAAGGACAAGGTATAGACTTAATGAGTATTCACCTAGTGAAATTTTAAAGATGCAATACAAAAAAGTGGCAAATACTAACAAAGTCAGGATATGGCTAGTATCCACAGCTTCTGCAGGTTCCCTTGAAACCTGAGCCATCTTTAGCCCTATAAAATATTAGTTGTTTTCTCAAGATTAGCATAAGGGATAAACAAGCATTTTAAATCAAAAGATTGACTATGAACATGTGAATGTGAATGACTATTTAAATGAAATAATCATATCGTGAAAACTAAACACCTCTCTCCATTTAGGTTTGAATGAATACTCTTCAGAAGGTCATTCTTATTTTGTATTTTCAGTTAACCTGTGGAGACAGCTTTGGTGACTTGGTACCAATTCCAAGTCAGAAAACAAATGAGAACATTCTATCAGTGGTAACAGAAGACAGATGTGAAATTGTCAAAATTTCTACAGGACAATATGAACATGTAAAAAGGGTGAGTATTTTGTTTAATTCTACTAACTATTATTGAAGTCTGAATTTTTTTCACTCTTCTAACTATCTTAACAAGGCAGCTAACAATGAATCTCAAAAATGCTGTTCTTTTGCATTGAAGGATCTAATGCAACGTGATGTATTGGTGAAGGAGGAGCTGATCCAAGCCTGTCCCTTTTACCAGCAATGGCCTAAATTATCTCTCCATAAACTAGTTGCATTAATCAAGTGGAAGCAGTTTCCTGAAAATTATGGTTTGTGTTTTCATTTTAATGTGTTTCACTGGATGGATTATTTGAGATAAATACTAACTAAATAATCCAATCATTGCTTATCTGAATGGATAGTAGCATTTAATTGCCTTGTACAAACATTCTAACAAGGCAAATAGCAATTACCCTGATGATAGCTGGTCAAATATACTCCTTTTGGACCGTGATTCAAAGTTAAGGGGACAAGATCCAATTTAATGAGAAGCAATGCCGTAATTTCTCTCCAAAAGTGGTTCACTTCTGCCATTTATAGGCATAGTTTTGGGTCAATCTATTTGAGGGCAGTAATTTTGATAAAATGTGTTCCCAAAATAAAGTGAATTTCTCTGAATCTCCTGTTTATATCTGTCAGCCAGGGCTCCCTGATTGGACCAGGTTAATCAAGGATTGCATAGTCAATGGATCCACCTGGCCCTCATTCCAATCACAATACACACATATAAAAGAATTTTAATAGTCACATACACTCAAAAATTATAGATATTACATATAAGACTCCTGTCTAATCTAGTGTGAAGAAACCATCTGAAGGACAAAAAAAAAAATTGGCTCGTAGGAAAAGAAAATTGATGGACAAAAAGTGTTTGGAAAATTATTTTCAATGACTTGAAAGATTTTTTGGATGAATTATTGTCACTACCTATTGACTTGTGAGTTATTGCACCCTCAAGGATTTTGATGTCTTTTTTGAATGATTTAGTTGATACAGTTTTTGTTCACTTGTAACATTTACAACGTACTGCGGTATTAATTTTAACTTGAGCTACCTTGTGTAAATGGCTTCCTTGCCTTATTTACATTGATGTAATGACAGTTGCCATTCTCAAAATGCCTTCTGCAAGTGCTAGAGTCCTGAGAGTTTCAACAACTAGGATTTTCTGAAATGGAAATTAATGCTCTATGGTGAATGCCAGATCTTGATTGCAATTTTGATGAAAAATTGGGCACACAATGAGTTAAATGCAGTCCTCAGTTAACTGATAGTACAACAGAAGAAGCACAAGAAAGGATAAGATTGACAATTGATGTCCTGCGTTACTTAGGAAAATTTCAATGAATTGAGACGAGTTCATGTATGACTGAAATGATTTGATTGAGAGATTAGTTGGGTAAAAGATGACAGATTGATGAAGGTAGTATATTTGTACTGTCATTGATGGGATATAGTGAATAATGCTCCTCAAATATCACTGGAGTCTCAAACTTACACAGTGTTTTTCAATGATATGAATTGTAAATTTGTAGACTCCAAATTTGCAGATGTAGTAACTTGGGAGGAACAGTAAACTGTATAGATAGAAGCAGGAAAGGAAACTTAACATTCAAACAGTATCTTTCACAGATTCCACATGTCTCAGGACAGCAACAATTTTGGTGAGAAAAGCCACAGCAAATTAAAGCTTGATCTTTAGCAAGTGTCAAACCAACCATTTTGGATCTAAAAAAGGATTGATTTTTCTTCTAGTTGAGTGACTAGGAGCTGGGGAGAAGTAATATATTTACTGTCTATATGCAAAAATCACTAAAGGCTTGAGCCTAGAGACAAAATGTGATCAAGACAGCAATGGATTAATGGCCTTTACCTCAAGTCAGAGTAGACAGGATGATCTTTTAGAAGAGTGCATTCACCTGGCAGAGGATGAGTTAATAGGAAATGTATAAGCAAGGTGTAGATTTCACTGTAAGAAACTCACTTTGATGATAGAACATCTGAGGATCTGTGATGCAGTGCTGTGCGGCATCATAGAGGTGAAAGATCAGTTCTGTGAGGAGCATGACAGTAGAACTAATAAAATCCCCGAATCAGAATAATTTTACCTAACTGGAGGATTTCAACTTAGGAGTAGGTATTGATCAGGGATCATCTGCACAGATTTGTTTTTTGGAGATATATTTATGAGGGTAGTGCAGTTGATGTGGTTTATATGGACTTCAGTAAGGCCTTTGACAAGGTCCCACATGGAAGTTTGGTCTAAAAGGTAAGAGCCCATTGGAAAATTAGCAAACTGGATCCAACATTGGCGTAAAGATAGGAAGCAAAGGGTGATGGTGGAGTGTTGTTTTTGTAATTGAAAGCCTGTAACCAATGGTGTACCACATGGATTGGGCTGGAACTCTTGCCGTTTGTTATGTACATTAACGATGTACATTAATGATGGATGTGAACGTAGACGGTTTAATTAGTAAGTTTGCAAATGACATAAAAATTGGTGGTGTTGTTGATACTGAGAAGGATGATCTCAGGCTACATTGGTCAGCTGATAAATTGGGCAGAGCAATTTGATAATTGCGTGGCAACGCATTTTGGGTGGTCTACTAAGGGAAGACGTATGGAATGAATGATAGGTCCCTAGAGAGTACTGAGGAACAAAGGGACCTTAGTGTCCAATTCCATAGATCTCTGAAGTAGGATAGACAGGGTGGTGAAGAGGCATACGGGATGCTTGTCGAGGCATAGAAATAAGGAACATGGAAGTCTTGTTGCAACTTTATGAAACATCAGTTAGGCTACAGATAGAATACTGCACTATTGGAAGGATGTGATTGCACTGGAGAGGGTGCTGAGGAGATTCACCAGATTGTTGCCTGGAATGAAAAGTCTCAATTATGAGGAGAAACTGGATAGGCTGTGTTTGTTTTCCTTGGGTGAGGAGGGGATCTGATTGAGATGAACAAAATTATGACAGATATAGACAGAGTAGATTGTGAGAATCGTTTCCCCATGGCAGACATGTCTAAGGCCAGAGAGCATAAACTCTTTTTTCACACAGGGGGTGGGAGATACATAAAATGTGCTCCCTGACAGAGTGGTGGAGGAAGGCACTCTCACGACATGTAAGAAACAACTGTATGAGTTCTTAAAATGCCAGCAATGGAACAAGTTTGATGGGATTAATGTAGTTTGGTGTTTATTGGTCATCATAGACATAGTGGGTTGGAGGGCTTGTTTCTATGCTGTATAACTATGATTTCTATGACCATGAGGCATCGCCCTTCTACCATGGGCTGGGAAAGATAAACGTGAACACATTGAGACTACTTTGCTGCTACCAAAATCTTTGTGTAACTAACAACCTTTTGCCAAATAGACCATAAGGCAACCTGGAGATATCTACGATCAGGACATTGGCACCAGTTGGACCTGATCATTAATTTTTAACATAATTTTCAACACTCACTGATGCCACAGTGCTGACTGTAATACAGATTACTCCCTGCTGCGCACCAGGATTAGGATACAATCCATGGAGTCATTTTAATTTGAAGTAGAAATGCTATCTTCATATAAACATCAACCCAGATAAAAACCAAGAGTTCCTCAACTTGATTCAATACAGCATTCCCACAGCAAGTGAAGCAGCAAGATGGAATACACGCAAAAACACATTCCATAAGACAACACACTCAACATTTGAGAAACAGGAGCAGAAGAGAGCTTACTGTATTCTGGCTAACTGAGCTTGAAACTGCCATTGAAACCAAGCTTCTGGTTTTATTAAATGTAAGAGAGATCCAAGCAAGAAGAGTCTGAATACACTGGGAGCTGCTGTCAGTCTGATTAAAGTCCGACAGTGTGCTCGGTGGTATGCCAGTGACTACTGGTTATAATTTTGCCAAAAAACTTGGAATCATTTTTACAGACATGTTCTGCAGTCACCCAGTTTGTGCTTCATCTCCCAATGGAGAGGAAACCACATTGTGAGCAGCTAATTTAGTAGACTAGTTTGAGTGAAATGCAGGTAAATCACTGCTTCACCTGGAAGGTATATCTGAGCCAAATCATCAATCATTCTTTAAAATCAGGGACTTTCACAGGGATGTGAGATGGTGATAAACAATTGTTAAAACAATTGTGTAAAGAATTTAATAATCAGAGAAAGATATTGTGGGAAAATATTGTAATGTCAGTCAGCAAAGGGTTTAACTGGCATCACACAATAAGCTCCTTCCATCAGCATATAAGAGACTTTTCCCAGGACGAACTAACTAGCATCCTAAGGAGCATTCTCTCTGAATTGTAGAGAATTCTGCATGAATTGTGTACTGTGCCCTAACCAGTGCTTCAGTGATTATTCTCAGTTTTAACATCATGTAGCAAATGTAGTAACTGACTGTTAAACTAAGGTTGATGTCTCATAAGAGACACTCATGTATCTTAGTTGTGAATTACATTGCATCTAAATAATCAGTAATAAATCTTTACTGTTTAATCAAGATTGAGCCATTTTTTTGCCAAATATATCATATGAGCATCCTTGTAACTTGCTAGCAGTAGCTCTACTAACTCTATAAACATGAAGGATTTGTGGCAGTAAACCCAGTCTACCCGCAATCTGTTGGTGTTTCAGGCAACCAATTTACTAAGAGACTGATAATCTATATTGCATAAATAAAGTATTTTCTAGTGGCCCAACTGTCTCATACTTCCTCAAAGTATGTTGTCATAATCACAGAACTAATGACGTTGATGATCAACTTGCATAATAAAAAGAAAGTGGGTCTCTGTTGAACTAGACATAAAGTTCTGAAAAGTCTGCAAGTTGGCCATAGCTAATTCTAAGAAGCACATTGAAGTGACTCCGAGTGACCTCCATCTTACTTTCTATCTCTCCATTTGGGGAACTGTTAACTTCTACTTTGAGCTTTCCCATAGTAGCATGGCAAACATTTGAAACATACAGTCGCCATTACAATTATTTTTCTGTATTTTTGTTTAGAAGACATCGTGCTGTGAAATAATTTTATAAGAACCACAAGTTGTAATTAATCAATGAATAGCTATTTTGCTGTTATGTTTTTATCCATACTTCATAATGGGAAAAACAGAATAATTTGTAGTCATGGGTGGCAGAGATTGATTTTGTTGTCATTTCTTAGGAAATAATCATTTCATGTTAAATATTTATTTTCAGAGTTTTGTGGCCTTGGGAGCAGTGGGATTGAAAAATCTGCTGCCACAGTGATTTACTATCATCCAACGA